ATAAAATAATACTTTTAAGATATATTCTTACAAAAAAAAATTTTAATTTTATTATCAAAAAAATTATTCAATTTGGAATTAAAAATAAATATTAAATTGTTAAAAAAAATGATTAAATTTTTTAAATATTTTGTTAAATTTAGTTAGATTGTTAATTTATAGTAATTTTACATTGTTAAATTATTTTTAAAGCTCATTATATTTATTTTTATTTTTGTTTTTATTGAATTTATAATAGAGATTTTAGTAGTAACTTCCTCAATATTTTAGTTATATTTCTTTTATAAAAATTTTAATTACATTTATAATTTTTAAAAATTTTAAAAAATTTCTTTTTTAATTTGAGATTAACGAAATTTTCTTCTCCATTATTATTAGAATTAATATTTATTTATTCAATAAATATATTTAATATTGCTAGCAAATTGTTAATATCTATATTAAATTTTTTTATATATTTATTACGCATATTTTTTTATAGTTTTTCTATAGGTTATACTTGAATATCTAATTTAATTGTTATAATTTTGTTTTAGGATTTTAGTAGTTTATAAATTTTAATAGATTTTTCATCTTCTTTAATATTAGTTTTATTTTATAATTTAAGATTAAAATTTATTTAATTTATTAATAATTCAATTTATACTATAGTGTGTTTAACTATTTTTTAATTTATAAATTATACTAAAATTTCAAAAAAATTATAAAAGTTTTTTTAACTTTTATTATTTATATCTAATTTTGATAGATTGTAATTTCTCAATATATACTACTTTTTTTTAAAAGTTGGATTAATTAAAGTATTACACTTATTCTCAAATTTTTTAATAAAATTTCCTAAAATAGTTTAATATTTTACTATATTTTTTAACTTTATATATTCAGATCTCTTAAAAGATAATATAGTATTCGAAATAAAGATATAAAGTTATATAAATAAAAAGTATAATATAATAATTAACTATAAAACTAAATACTGTTTAAGTAAATTATAAACTAAGTTAATAAGATTATTAATAAATTAACCGATGAAGTTTTAAAATAAACTAAAAATTGTTATTACTTAAAAATTTTTAAATACATAATAAAATTTTTTATAAGTAATTATAAATATAATATTTGTTAGTGGTTGTTAGTAATTGTTAGTTTAACAATTACTGATAACATTCAATAACTATGGTTTTGGCGTTAAATATTGCATAATGGATTAGTGTCAGATATTTCTGTTTGTTGGTCAAATAAAAAATGTGTTGTTTTACAATATATTTGTATATGAGGCATAAAATAGATATATAAATTTTTAATCTAAAGAATTTGAATAATTATAATTAAAAACATTCTGTAAAATAAAGAGAGGTAGAAACAAAAAACATGTTTGTTGCACCAAGATATATTTCCTAATTGGGTTAGTCAATATGGCTGGGTCGTGACAAATAGTTTATAATTAATTTAAATAATTATATTAATTTTTAGTTATATAATAAAATTTAAATAACAAATTATTTTTTAACTTTAGTTTTAAAATTAATTATTTTGAAAGAATAAATCACTTTTAAAATTATAAAAGTAATAAGAAGAATAATAAAATTAAATTCTATTTATAACAAAAAAAAATATATATATATATATTTTTATTTATTTTATATTTTTATTATTTTATATATAGATTAATAATAATAGATTGAAATTAAATTATTTCTTAAAAAATAATAACTTAAATATAAACACAAATATCCTACTTTACTAAATATAATTAAAAATATTTTTACTATTTTAATTATATTTGTTAATATTAAAAATTTTTTTAATCAAATTTAAAATATTATAATCTAATATAAAGAAAAATTTTCACCTAAAATTATTAAAAATAAATTTATATTTATTAGTTATTCTAAAATATGTTTTTTATTAACACTTTATAATAATTATAATTAATAAAATATTTTATACTATAAATAAAAATAAAAATAAAATAACAATTAAAAAATAAACTTCTTTAAATATAAAATTATATAAAAATATATATAAAAATTTTATATATAATATTTTTAATAAAAAAAAATATACTTTAATTTCCAATAAAACATCAAAATCTAAAAAATAATTTAAACTTCTTTTGTATATAAATTAATAAAATCCTATATTTTCCAAATTTGAAACACTTAAATTATAAATAAAATAATATATATTACTCCATATATAAGATTTTTAAATTATATTAGAGTTATAATCTACCAATTTAGTTTTTAACAAACAATTTTTAATTTTTAAAACAATTTTTATTATAATTTCTTAACAGGTAGTTTCTAATTTTTGGCATAATTTCTTAATATAGTTCAAGTTTCAAAAAAAGAAACCAAAAACTGCTATAAACAATTTCTGATATCTAAAAACCGAACCAAACCGCACCATGTCAATCACTAATTACATCTATCCCAAAATTTCTTAATAAAATTTCTTAAAACAATTTAACATTCTACTATATTTTTTAACTTTATATATTCAAATTTCTCAAAAGATAATATAATATTTAAAATAAAAATATAAAATTATATAAGTAAAAAATATAATACAATAATTAACTATAAAACTAAATATTATTCAAATAAATTATAAACTAAATTAATAAATTAATCAATAAAATTCTAAAATAAATTAAAAACTACCATTATTTAAAAATTTTTAAATATATAATAAAGTTTTTTATAAACAATCATAAATATAATATTTATTAATAATTATTAATAATTATTAATCTAATAATTACTAACAACATCTAATAATCATAACCTTAATATTAAATATTACATAATAAACCAATACCAAAAATTTCCACTTATTAATTAAAATAAAAAATATATTATTTTATAATATATTTATACATAAGATAAAAAACAAATATATAAATTTTCAATCTAAAAAATCCAAATAATTATAACTAAAAACATTTTATAAAATAAAAAAAAACAAAAACAAGAAGCATATTTATCACGCCAAAACATATTTCCTAATCGGGTTAGTCAATATGGCTGGGTCGTGACAATAACTTTAATAATATAATTAAGATTATTTATCAAATTAATTTATTTGAATTGCCTCCCAAACCAGATTCCAAAGTTACTTAAATAGCAAATTTGATTAAGATAATTTTAAAGTATTATATCTATAATTATATTTATAATTTTAATAATATAGTTAAGATTGTTTATTAAATTTATTTGTTTAAATTGCTTCCCAAGTTAATTTCTAAGGCCATTTAAATAAATAATTTAATTAAGGTAATCTTAAGATATAGTATTTATTATCATACCTGTAACTTTAATAACATAATTAAGATTATTTATTAAGCTAATTTGTTTAAATCACGTTTTAAGCTAGATTCCAAAATTATTCAAATGGCTAATCCGATTAAGGTGATCTTGATCTACTACTATATTTAAAATTTTAATAATATGGTTAAGATTGTCTATTGAGTTGGTTCGCTTGAATTGCTTTTTAAGTTGGTTTCCAAGGTTGTTTAAATATCTAGCCCGATCGGAGTGGTCTTGAGGTGTGTGGTCTTGAGGTGTGGCACCTAGTGCCATATATGTAACTTCAACAGCGCGGTTGAGATCATTCATTAAATTTGTTCGTTTAAATTGCATTTTAAGCTGGTTTCCAAGATTGTTTAGATGGTTAGCTTGATTAGAGTGGTTTTAAGGTGTAGCATTTAATACCATATTTATAACTTTAATAACATAGTTAAGATTGTTTATTAAATTAGTTTATTCGAATTGCTTTTTGAGTTAATTTCCAAAGTTATTTAAACAACTAGCTTAATTAAAATAATCTTAAGATGTAATGTCTACTACTATATTTGAAATTTTAATAACATAATTGAGATTGTTTATCGAGCCTGTTCGCTCAAATCACATCCCGAGCATTACCACTAAATTATTTAATATGCGCGGCGTGATGTATTCTCTAGCTAAATCTACATTTTGTCGCATGATACTAATAGCCTCGTTCAAGGTTTCCAAAACGCCATTTTGTTCGTAACTTCGCATTAGTTTTATTGCCACGTCGTTTTGATTTTCTATTTGGATGCTGATTTCAGGTATTAATTTTTGTTTAATCATTTGGCTGATAGACACCAGCGTATTAGCAGCTCGCCTTCTCTAGCTGGAAGTATCATCCTCTAGGGCTTCTGAGCACCTCTCCGCACGTAATAAATAATATTAGTTAGACTAGGGGTACAGGGCAATTCTCTATTTAGGAAAAATCGGAGAAAAATACCGCTCACCTAATTCCCAACAACGGAAGTTTAATATCGCGTTCAGAGATGAAACTGAGCTGGCTCATCCAGGCCGACAGAAAGTCGAGAATCTGAAGTCTTCGCGCGCGGTCAGGATGATCAATAGCTAATTCGGCGATCCATCCTTCCGTTTGTTGAATAGCTTGTTCAAGATGTTTTGTTGAGTGCATTTTCTTGAAGACCAGGAAGCAGGCGTAAATATATAATTCGATTTGTTCATCATTTACGGGACCTTGTCCTTGTTGCTCTTGTTGCAATGCCGCGAAAATATCAAGTTCTTCACCATTCAAGTTATTGAGTGAAGAGGTCATTTCCGCGTTAATATTGAAGGGCTCCATTTTAGCTATACTAGATAGCTATAGCTGCAGTTGCTACAGTTTGACTTGAAAGAAAATTGTCGGATATTAAACCGTTGGGCATATATATAAGAATTTACGAATGCTTCAAAACTCTTCGACAGAAGACTAGAATTCCTTCAATTGATTCTGAAGGCTGGGCAAATTCGCGTTGGCTATCCCTGTTACTCGCAGAACACACACCAAAGCCAGGCACATACCATCCAGGACGAGGCACACACTAAGGCAAGCGCTCATGCCGTCCCTCTATGCCTGGTCTGGGTCGTTTCTCTGGATCCTGCGGCAGGGCAGACTGGCAAGAGTATGCAGGATCACTACAAGGCCATATGACGTGGGCATTGCCAATTTTTTAAATACCAGCGGTTGCGAGCTCAGGCTGTCATTGCCCAGTCAGTCTCGCTGCCCACAAGAGTTCTGATTCCTCTTCTAGCGTTTTCGGGCAACCAATGGGTTCGAAGGCTATCAGTGTGCGTTAACGGCATTTTAATCAAACCGCGTGTTATTCAGAATCGAACAACACAAAATCAACACACTGTTAGGTTTTTAAACAGAAATTGGAATATTTCAGATTATCAATAAGCATTTTTGGATTTCTATCGGCTCATTCTATAGCATAGGTAGCGAGAATAAAGCGCCCTTCAATTTATAATAAAGAAATATCACAAATAATATACATAGTCTTCTAAATTGCTGTGCGATTGAAGCACGTTAAGGATCACTTATAGGAGGTAGGAGGCCATTAAGAAACCCCTTTGAGGGTATACGCAGCTTAGGCAAAAAGCTTCGAAGATAAGGTAATAGGAAAACCCCGAAAAAGTTGCTCGACAACAAGATCATCAAAGGGGGATACTAAACGTTAGAGGGGTATGATACTTTTAATACTCGGAATATAACGGCCGGTTCGTGTTGTCGAAAGAGGCTCGTCAGTATCTTATCAAAACGCGGGGATTGAAGGTGAAAGCCGGCCGATGAACCCTAACTCCAGAAATAGGGGAGGAACCGGGCTCGTTCGCGTAATTGATATTCGGCCTAACTTCGAAGCGTCGTCGTTATCAACGAGCGTGAGGCGGCTTCGAAAGAAGTGGTAATGCCTTGGTCGAGGGCTGCCAGTTGGACGGAATACTGTCGAGATTCGGATCCCGAAGAGTTGGTGAACGCTAGCGTCCTTCCCGGAAAAATTCGCCGATAAAAAGCTGCCTGTTATTAGCGTGCGCTGCTGTCGAGAGCATCTTTAAACCAGCCTTGGGTTTTCTAATGATGTTCGGCACGGATTTAAGGCGGTAGTGGAGAAGCCCTAAGCCCGACAAATTCTCGTATTGGTCTCTCGAACTTATATGGTCGACGGCTGCCTTCAGAGGATATGTCAGCTACTAGCAGGTGTAATATAATATTAGGTTTTAACATTTTTATTAAATATATATAGAAAGGTAGATAATAATTAATTAATAAAATAAATTATTATTAATATAAATTTTTTTTTTTCAGTTTCCGGCTAACGAAAACCTACTCTTGGGCTCGTGATCCAGAAAATATGGGCTAAATTGAGCATTTATCTAGTTTTACGCTTTCTCAATAAAAGTCTTGCCCCGACCCTCCGAAAAAAACTGTCCCAATACTCAATAAAATCAAATCAAATGAAACTCACCCACGTCCTAGTACCTTTCCTTTGAATGAAACATCTATTTTAGATATAATTGCCACGCCGATCAGAAGGTCAGGTCCAAATAAATGACTGCCCTTGCAACAAGATTACAATTTTTATAAGATTACACATTACTATACATAATAGAATCGGTACTCATTTTGTCAAGAGAGGTCCACGGTTTAGTTAAGAAATGCATCGACCGCCGTTACAGATTTGGCCGTTGTTGCACTATAAGGTAGAAGAATAAACGCGTTAGTGATCCGATTTCCATGTGGCGGTTTCGTGTAAAAAAAAAATTATTGCGAGCTTACCCTTTGTCCACATCCACCGCAATTATACCAATCAATTTGGGTTCTGTAGCAGTAGTTACCGCATCTAGCACGGTTTGGATCCACGCAAGTATACAAAGTCTCCGAAACAGTAGCGGTAATGGTATCAGTGTTGGTTACAGACTCTTGTACAGTTGCCGTTGCAGTGATTGTAGCCGTGCTGTATTGAGACTCAACCGAGGTAGCAGTGTCGTAAACAACAGTAGTATAGAAAGTGATAACAGTAACGCTCACGGTAGCAGTGGAGGCTCTGGTGACAGTTTCACGCGGCATTGTCTTTGTTTTGTAAGTTGTCGGTGCTTTTGCGGTCAAAGTATTTGTCTTTGTCCTCGTGAGCAAGCAGGCTAAAAATCAAAGGTGTCGGGTTAGCGGTTGTGCGGAGTCCCATGTTGAATTGATTGCTTACAGCATTGCTTCGCCACGGTTGTGCAAGGAGCGACACGCTTCTTAAGAGCGAAACCATAGTTGAAAATGATACTGGTTTCGGTTTCGGTGGCAGTTCTTCAAGAAGTTTCGTCAGTACTAGATATAAATTCGTAGTAGACCACATGCGTAGAACGAAAGCAACATACTCCTCGAAAGTCTCGGTCGCCGTTTCTGTAACAGCCTCCGACATCTCGTCGAGATACACAGTGGTGCTATACTCCGTAAGGGTAGAGAAGACGGATACGGTACCAGTCTCATCGACGGTATTGGTCAAAACTTTGTTGTCGATGACGGTGACCTTGGGCTGGTTAATGGTCACGGTCTTGGTAACCTTTGCAGGAGTAACTGTCTTCCAGACGGTGCAAGTCGAGTATTTTAATTTCTTCGCAGCTACAATTTGTAGGTTAGCGTATATCCTCAAATAATATCCCGATAATAGACATATACTCACAGATGGCGGAAGAGCAGCTGGTAACAGTTGCCCTAGGAAGGTTCGAACATGTTTTGTTTGGGACGCATGATGCGGCAAAGGATGTTGCCGCAAACGCGAGAACCGAAAACGTCGAGATCTGATTGAACAACATGATGGATGATAAGTACCAAAACGAATGACTACTTAAAAGAGTGACGCTGTAGAAAGACGAAAAATGAACGACGTGAAGACGGGTGTGATTCTCTGTACCTACCAAGTTCAGTCACAAAAATGGCGACTATATCCAGAATATATACACCAACATAAAGGGGGGCAACACTAGCTGGCGGGCGTCGATTTTGAGTTTTCGACAGCTTAATTGGCTCTCTCCGCCCAGCGCCACCATGTCAGTATGAGGCTAGTCGACGCAGGATTGTTCGAGACCGCCGTATAAAGTTCGCGCCACATGCCCAAAAGCCCATGCGCTGACCTATCGAAATCCAAAAAGCTTGGCAGCTAATTTCCACACTTTTCGCCAGGGCCGCACGGATTGGCAGGTTTTCGGAGCAGAACCCCAGAACTAGCCGTTGACCTTTCCACGTCGGCTCCCTTTGGACCAGAACTCGTCGGAAAGGTTGCATTGTCTCGAGAATGAGGCTCCTCATAATCCAAACATGCAGGGGAACTCGAACCTGGCCTGCGGGTCGTCTTTTTGTGTTGAATGTCGCGCGCACTGCGGGATAGCTGAACAGCGCTTGAGCTGTTTTGCAGGGACTTAAGCCAGGGAAATTTAAATAGATTAGATTAGTAATCTGGATCAGTGTCTTTTTTTATGCCAAAACTATAACTCGTTTGTATGGCATTGAGCTGGATAGGTGTCCCATCCGGCCAACTTATACCTCGTAGAATCACTCTATTCTATACATTCTATAGCTCTATATGTAGCACATTCTGGAACTATGCTTAGTTGCATACCCTAGCCTTTTGGCCGCGTGGTTTGTGACACTTACATAATATAAAAATCCGAGAAAATATAATAGGAATAATTTTGTAAGATAAATAAAAATAGGAAATAGAAGTATGTTTATTAAACTAAGCCTTATCTCCTAATCCGGTTAGTTGATATGGTTAGGCCGTGGTGACAAATTCTTTTTTCCTTTTTAAACTTATAAGATAATAGAGCATTGCTGGCTTATACAGCTTATTCCTATACCTTATAACATATCCTTAACGTAAAACTTTCATCTTAATATATTACTAATATATAAAGTTATCGGTCTTTGCCTAGTTATTATGGTAACTTTTGTTATTGTTTATTTACTGCTATATAACTGCTGCTGCTGACTAGTTACACATTTATCCAAGCCTATTCCAACAAGACTTCTCAAAAAATCTTTCGTCTGTGCGCTTTCCGATAATTTCGCGCTAAGCCTTTGCCTTGCGCATCTCATCAATAACATGTAGATGGATTCCTTCGTACTCGCCACGAATCTTGATCTTAGCTGGGTCATCAAAGGTGGTGATATCACGCTTGTAATAGGTTCCATCAGCCGCTTGCTCAGGTTCTGTTGGATAGTCATATTCGATAGCTTCTGGCCTTTCTACCTCCTTGATTGGTTTTGGCTTTGGTACGTGCTTGTTTGGCGGTGGAGGCGGAACATTAACCACGCGAAATGGAATACAACCTCCGAAGGGACCGTTCTAATACGTTTTCATTAGCAATATGCATCATGAGGTGTGAGGGTGAAAAGCATATACTTTTGCAAAGTTTTCACAGCGCAGGATGCAGACACCAGTATATTTACCAGACTTGCCATCGCAAACCTGGCCTCGAGGGACCCTCCATTTGACGTGGAGGACCTGTCCCACGGTCGGTTTGTGGAAGGAGTGTGAACGCCCTTTGTCGTTGGGTTTTGCTTGCAAGAGGAACCGTTCGTCTGGCTCCCAGCCCTCATATGTGCCGTTGCCATTAGTGTCGACTCTACATCGAAACGGACCGGCTCCATCTTCATTAATTTGGAAAAATCTCATTTCAAGAATCCCAGTACCATCAGCGCTTACTACAGCCATGGAACCATCATCAGCTTGCTTTTTAGTCTCGTGTGCAGTTTGGATATAAGCTTCCTTTCCAGCTTTGGCTCCAGCAAGAGATTGTGTCCATCTATGGGGGCCATAATTGCCGGTAGATAACTTCCACCATAGATTCACAGTACTCAAAGTTACACCACAACCGTCTTTTAGCCACGAACGTTTTTTCCCCCAAGCTGGAACAGGTGGATCACTGAAAATAGTTACAAGTTTTTGATTCCAGGGGTCATTTGAATTGAATTTATCAGGTGCTGGGTTCCATTTTTTGCCAGCAAGCAATGCCTGTGACCAGACTCCAGGTGGATTCTTATCTCCCATAACACGGTGGCATCTAGCATGGGCAGAAACTGGGTCTGCTATTATAGCAAGAGCTGCAATAGCGGTGGCGATACTGGTAGGATGCATATTGTAAAAGAATGTAGTTATAAATGAATGTGGTAGTGTAAAAGACTGTAAATCAAGCTAAGGATGCTTTATAGTATTGACGAGCTGACAAAGAGAAGCACCAAATAATGGAGAAGAGTTATCACAACTATTTATAAAAAAATCTGTCAGGCGAATTCTACATGGCTGAAATGGATCGGCTATGACATATGACATAGAACTTCGTCATTTCAATTGACAATGTAACTTAAAGGGAACTCACAGCCATAGAAACTCCATCGACCTTCAGCTTAGGGATTTCTCTAAAACCGGATATGGCATCATGGCCTCATTTACTGAGGAGACCCGGAGGCAATTGTCATGCTAGTGGTTTTAGGTTCGGCATTGCATACACGTTAGGAGCAAGTACACGCCTGGGACTACAGCCGCCTGAGCTCACGACTCCGGAAACAATTCTCAGCAGAGTACAGCGTATCCGTAACCGCTTCTTTAATTTCTTGGAATACATACTTCTGGCCTCCTTATGCGTCCACAAGCCTTGGTGTCGGGCGGTCCTAGGTCCGGAAGAAAGCTTTAAAAGAGGCTTTCGCTGTAGATTAGAGTTTCAGGTGACACATGTTTTAAAAGCGGTCATGTATTTCGATCCCCCCGAAGAGCTCACCTTCCCTAAGGAGGGTCAAGCGTCGACTATAGAGCCCATATATGTGGCGTGAATTGATACCGAACACCCGAACCAAACCCTAATCGGAGATGTGCGAATTCATAGTCCCGAGGCTAGCGCTAGATGGCCTGATCTACAAGCGCCAAGATAAAACAACGGCAACACAAGGTAAAGTAATAGGTAATCGGGACGCCATGCACTAAACTAGTTTTCAAGATTTCTGGCAATTCCACCATATTATATTCCACTTTTTCCACAGCGACAGTAATTCCGCCCACAACAGAATCTTCGGTATTATGAGTTGTCTTGTTGAGATTTTTGGGATGGGTAATCGGTGCCTTAATATTTTGAACGAGCTGTTTCTTTATTACTATGCTTGCTATTGTACCAGCCTTATATATAAGCCTATAGTGTGTCAGAGCGAATTCGGGCAAACTAATGTATTATAAAATTGTCATCACACTCATCGTATTTACCTAGGAAAAGGTTCCGTCGCAGTACATCCGGCGGCCGGATGACCATATTTTGTACTACCGGGTGATGTCGCAGTCGATGGTCCAGGCAGGCATTCTGGCCAGCGAACACGCCCAAAAAAAACGCCCAAGCATTGAAGCAATTCTGATACTCTCAGACAAACAAAGCCACTTGTGATGAGAAAGGCTGTTGCGTAAAGCTGCTGGAGAATTTATTAAACAGTTCGCTGTAATCAGTAGCCATGAGATAAATGGGCTGGGTCTCAGCTTTCATTCTCATATCTTGTTCTGCCTCTCCATGATTGTCCGGGGGATATAAATCCATCTTGACTTCTGGAGAGGTTTTTGCGCTTCGGCGGGTTATACGTAATGTCTTATATTTTTTTGGATTAGGCTAACACTTCAATATCTCGCTCGTTTTTGTGTCTGGGCCTTTTCAATGAGGATGTAAGCTATAAATTATAAGTTACTCCGTTAGTATTAAGTCATATATAATATTGTCGAGTTATCGAGTGCAATGTAACCGCAAACTCAAGCGCAAACCCCCGCTTTTAAGGGTATTCAAATCACGTGAGATGCAGTGCCGATTGTGCCTTCATAGCTAGTACCTCCACAAGGCTGCTGGTTTTCATACTTCTGGGGCCCCAATAATTCCCAGTGGGCCGGCAACCTCCCCATCAAATTCTCAAAGCCGATCATATCTACTAGTGCATACGTATCCCTTAGCCATCGTCGGCGACAGCGATCGAAGAGAATGTGACAGAAATCAAGGTGATACAACTGCTCAAGCGATCGGGATGCCAGCCAGCGAAGTGCTTAGGAAGGTCACTCCAGAGTGGGAAAGAATCAACTGGATCTTTTAGAAAATGGCTTGCGCAATATTATGGGAAGGAATGATCTCGACATTTTTCTCGACCGTTGTCTCGATGAGGCTGCAATGCGGCGTGCCCAAATCCTTCTTGAGTCGCTTCGCGCTTTGCCGGAACTGAATGCAATCAACTACCCTTCACAACACAAGGGGCAACCCGCCACCCATAGATGCTCTTCTAGACAACTTAGCTAACACTACCTGGAAATTTGTAATGGTCTCGGGGACCACACGGAACCTATTTAAAGTACGTCACCGGAAGAGGACAAGAAAGAAGTTGAAAGGTTCAGCGACTTCTTTAGCTATCTCACGTGACCGCCAGTAGCAGATATATGCTTTCCAACAGAAAGGCTGCCATTGGATGACTCAGACACTAGCCACCCCCACAACCACCTTGCTACAGCTTTTGATGGACTTGAAGTACTCCTTTCGCAGTTCAAGGATCTTCCCAATTGCCAGGGGCGTGATGTCTTAGTACAATTGCCAAAATTGAGTGCAGCTGCATTAAGCGGGTGCTTTCAGGGATCACGTTTGGATCTCTTTCTCTCCACCTGCCGTGTCCCATCACTTTGGTTAGAGCGTCAGCTAGATACCCTCTTATCCACGTAACTAAGTATATTTCTAGTTCATTGTATAGATATGCATATGGCAACGCTATTAGGCTACAAAACTAACTACGGGATATGAGTTGGGCGGAATCAGCGCTAATACCAACTTCTCACATATAAGCGAGAAATTTCTTAGCAAGGAAATAAACACTGATATTAACTGAAAATTAGCACTAATATTATTATACTTTTAAATAATTTAAATAAAAAACCTTAAATTTTAAATTTAAAATTTTAATATTAAGTGAATATTTTTAAATATTAATATGTTTAAATTTTTTTAAAGGTAATTGATGTATATAAATTTTATTTTATTTTGATTATAATTTTTTAAAAGTAATGAATTTTAAAATTTATTAATTAATTATATTTTTATAATAATTATTTTTATTTTTTAATTATTAACTATTACTAAAGAATTTATTTTTATTATACAATAGAATGTTTTGTTTTGTTTGAAATATAAATATGTTTTTATATTTATTAATATTTTAAAATATTGTTATCGAAATTATAAAAATAATATATTAAAAATAAATTGTAAAGAATTGAAAATTTTTTTATAAAAATTCGATTTATTAAATGTTTTTATATTATTAATATTATTTAATTAAAATATATTTTTTCCATCTTAACTATAGTTTGAAATTAAAATCGAATATGTATGCAATCAACTAGATTATAAATATAAATGTTATAATTAAAAATTAATTAAAATATATTTCAATAAAATTTATAATAAAAAATGAAATTCTAATTAATTTTATTTTATCGAAAATTATTTTAATATATATTAAGTTTAAATAGTATATATTTAAGATGCTTTTTTAATTTAGTAATGTATTAATTAATTTATTAATTAATTTGTTAATTAATTTATTAATTAATTTATTAATTAATTTATTAATTAATTTGTTAATTAATTTATTAACTAATTTATTAACTAATTTAATTAAGAATTTAAATAAAGTTAGTTTAATTTAACTAATAATTTATTAGATATAAGTTATATTAAATGTTAATAATTAATAATTTAAAATCAATTTATTAAAATTAATTTTTAAAATAATAGAATTAATTATTTTATATATACTGATAATTTAAATTAATTAGAAATAATTATAATTTTTAAATCTCTTATTACTAATAATAATTTTAATAATAATAAATTTATACTATTTTGATTTTATAATTTAAGTTATATATATATAGAAGAAATTAAATAATTAATTACTTACAATAAATTAATAAAATAAAAATTTCGAATTTTTAATAATTATACTTCTTATTTATTAGTTAATATTAAATTAAGCAAATTAAATTTAAAATTATTAAAATATATTCAATTTAAAATTACTAAAAATTATTTTGATATTTAGAATTAATTTTTATATTATATTTATTGAACTAAATATAATTTTTTTTTATTAATTATATTAAATTTTTGTTTTAATTAAATTTTAATTAAATTAATATGATTAATTAGTTTAGTATAAAATTAAATTTACCTTTATATAATAGTAATTTAGATAATTTTAAAAATTTTTAAATAATTTAATTATAATAAAAGATTTTATATATAATAATTTAAAAATTTAAATTTATTTTA